AAACATTATTTTAAAGATAGCGGAGTGAGTGTGGGTGGGTGGGTACAAATGCCGGCAGCTATAAGAACTATTTAAGACAGCGGAGAAAAGTGGATTTCCATTTTAAAAATATGATTTTTCAGAGGAAATGGACTGAAATAGAGATGGTACATTTGTATGTGTGTGTTACACAGAGCAAATCCTGTGATATAGTTTTTCAACTCCCAAAATATGCGAAAAAAATATGAAAATATTATGCTATAGCAAAGATATTTTGCATGTTCGTTACTTTTGCTTAGGCAGAATAGTGTGTACAAGTTAGTTGAAAGATGATGGCAGTTTAATTTTAAGGGAATGAAAACATTGATGTTTGGTGCACTGCGACTGCACGTTTGAAATGTTCAAAATCTGTCCTCCCTTCCGGTTTGTTGACCCCAGGTCACGTAATATGCGCAAGAGCACAAACGAAGAACGCGCAAAAGCTATCAATTGTTTAGCACAGGCTAAGGGATACCCAAATTTGTTAAAGGGGCACCTTCCAGTTAAGCCTAATCTCACAACAAATTTACTTTCTGGATTAAAATAACAATGGGTAACAAGAGATAGATTAACATTGTAAACAACATAAACAATAGTGTCCCATGATTTTTTGGTGCAAAATCCATGGGAATGAGCAGTTTCCCTTTAAGAATATACAAATATCTTCAGTCATTTTAACTATGATTACTCGTACAGTAACCGAGAAGGCATACATGTTCTACGGTTATAAAACAATACCAAAGCAAATTCAGAATGTTCTGATTGCAGAATAACAGAAAGAAGCACAGATTCTCATCATCGGTTCATTTTTCCTCTAGAACAATATCTTTCATATGTGCTTGTGTTGATTGTCATGTCGGAAATGGCATACTGAAATAAATAGGTATGAAAATAATACACTTGTAGTAAATCTTCCAAATAAACATTGAATACAATGGCGTTTTGGATGCTTAGTCTCAGATCTTGACTGGGTCTTAAAAAACGAGCCAGATTTAATAAATACTCAATGTTTCTTAGCCTGTGCTGAGAAAAAGTGTGTAATTTGACCTTTTAGCCCATGCAAAGAGTTGAGTGTGAACACCACTAGTATATCCTGAATACACATTCTGTAAATCTTTTATACAATACAAGAACCATACCATATCTTCGTTGTGTGACTTGACAGAATCGAATAGCTTCCGGGTTAAGTATAAATGCATGTACATGCTCTCGCCCGGTATGATCCAAGCGTCGCCATGGTGCTTCCTCAATGTAAACATTGACCGTGTGCACTTGTGAATGCGTCTCAAGAAAATGTTTGCAGAGATCCATTCCAAACTGTTCAATAGTGCGAATCTAGAATACAAGTATAAATATGTTATTTAATATTTGGTGAATAGTTAGACAGTTAAAAATAGAATTTTTTACCAAAAATGACAAAATTATTTACTAAAATTAGAAAATAGAAGGTATTGTCACAAATTGAACAAATCTAAGGTCCACTCAAGGAGTCTACATATTGAATATTGAATCAATCTGGCTAACAATTTTAAAGAATAGGGTGCAAATAGCATTTTTACCAAAAATATTTTCTAAAATTAGAAAATGGAAGGTATCATCACAAAATGAACAAATCTAACTAAGGTCCCCTCAAGGTGTTTACATATATAAAATATTGAAAGAAACAAGCTAGGCATTTTAAAGAAGATATCAACATGAAAAGAACAAATCTGAGAAAGGTCCACCCAAGGAACACATATACATGTACCAAGTATCAATTCAAGGGAACTTGTCATTCTTAAAAAGGAAAATGGAAAGTTGATGCCAACAGACGACGTTAGTCAGTGATATGAACAGCTCTGTGTAGAACACTAAGTCGAAGCTAAATAATTGGGAAAAAAACACAGAAAAACACTATGATTTAAACGTAATGTATATTTTTGTGTGTTTCAAACACCGAATGACTCACCCCTTTTTCCCTAACTAGAGCATACACAGTGTTCTTTTGTGTGTCTGTGGGGACCACGTCGTTATTATCACCATCGATGTAATCCTTTTTAGACGACAAACTCAGTTCGGTGTTCACTTCTACTTCTTTAATATGATGAACTTTACCCTCTCGGCGATGTTGCAACACACGTACACCATTCTTGCCATACATCGTCTTTTCTTCAATGAACTCTGTTTTCACCTCGTTGGACATTGTTGGTATAAGATAAGGCACAGGCGGCTATAAAACTAAACTAAAAGATGAAATTTCAAATTTATAAATGCAGCATGAAAATAATACGGATACATACAAATGTACATATTTTTATGGAGGCACAATAGCGGCCTTTTCATGCAGGCTGTAAAATAATTTATTTTCGATATTTTTGATGAAGGAATGATTCAGTAAAAATAAAATCCAGCGAATATACCGTTTTTTCTATATTTTACATTCAACTTGTCAAAAATCAGTGAAAATAAATTCCATACAATACACCCAAAATGTCTTTTCAGCGAAAATTTATTCCAGCTAAAATAAAGTATTCTACAGTAATATTTCTTATTAACAAACAACATTCCTCTAAAGAGAGATGAAAAGGATTATATATAATCGACTGAAAGAATTTCCGAGAATCACAGCTGAGTAAGATCCGAGGCTGCCTCGGGAATAGTTAGACTTATGACGTTATATAAAGACAAGCAGCCTGTCGGCTGAGATAGCTCCGCTGTTAGCAATGCACATTTCAATTAAAGAAGAGAAAGTATCATTAGAAAATGTAGACTTGCTGTTTTCAACAAGAATTCAAAAATATCACTTTTCACCAAAAATGACAAAAATAATCATCAAAATTAGGTAACTGAAGATATCATCACGAAATGAACAAATCTGAGCGAGGTCCACATGTAGTACCTATGTGTGTAATATAAAAGCAATCAAACTTGTGGTTTTTAACAAGAAGTCGAAAATATCACTTTTTACCAAAACTGACAAAAATATTCACCAAAATTAGAGAATTAAAGATATTATTACAAAATGAACAAATCTGAGAGAGGTCCACATGTAGTACCTATATATGTAATATCAAAGCAATTGGACTTGCAGTTTTTAACAAGAAGTCGAAAATATTACTTTTTACCAAAAATGACAAAAATATTCACCAAAATTAGAGAAGTACAGATATCATTACAAAATGAACAAATCTGAGAGAGGTCCACATGTAGTACCTATATATAGTATCAAAGCAATTGGACTTGCGTTTTTTAACAAGAAGTTGAAAATATCACTTTTTACCAAAAATGACAAAAAATATTCACCAAAATTAGAGAATTGAAGATATCATCATGAAATGAACAAATCTGAGAGAGGTCTACACAGGGTACATATACACCAAGTATCAAAGCATTCAGGCTTACAGTTTTCAAGAAGAAGTCGAAAAAGTAAAACATTGACACGGACGACGGACGATAAGCGACAAAGTCGACAGCGGAGCTAAAAAGATAAATCTTTCAGTAATGTAACTTGTTGTTGTATTATTTTTCATAACATGAAGTAAACAAGTTGGACCTTTGTTACCCGGTCTTACCCTCTGACTTTTAACCTTTTCACCACCAGACATTCTTGCCTAAATTTTTCTGCACTTTTATCTTATCTTCTTCAATAATTCTGGAAATGAACCCTAATTCTTGAGCCAATAGACAAAATTTTAGTCAATTTTTAGATTTTACTCAAAAAATTTGGCTATTTAAGTCCCAATCTTCGGAAGGAAAGTGCAGACTATAAACAGGACTTATTTTGTGATGAAATGAGGGAACTGATGGTGAAAAGGTTAATAAACTTCTATATATGCAATGCATCAGCCAAACCTGTTACTATAGCGACCATCTAAAGTGCTTAAAAATTGTTTATTATACATCTGTTTGACAAAAATTAACCTAGACTGGTTAAGTCTGAGGAATGAAATTTTCAGTTTTTATGATAACAGTTGTTTTAGCATAATCTGTTAAATTTCACAAGAATCCCCAAAAACCTGAGGAGAATGACAACACCATAAAGATAAATTTATTTAATAATTAGTCATGGTCAAATCTTGACTGAAAATAAAAAATATGACTACCAGTCGGCCATTTTCAATCAAATCATAAAACAAAGTTACATGCTTCTGTAACTGATACCATGTTTGATGTTCATACCATGTTAATAGTCAGATGACAGGGTAGGTGATAAATTGCCCTGCAGAGGGCCACTTAGGTAAAAGTTGGGTACCCAACAGTGAAATGCGACCTTAGGGTTATCCCTTACTATGATCTGGTGAATGGAATTAACACCCCTTTGTTAAAAAATGTGGGGGTGGGGGTGGAGTAAAGCACATCTATACCAATTTTAAATGAAATCGGTTCAGGCATGTCTGACAAATGTTTGATGACAAATTCTTTTAGATTTTCATTGTTGTTGAAAAAAACTTCCAACAGTCTGGTTACATAACCTCATAAACAAACAATAATGGAAGAAAATATAAAACACGTTAGATCTTGCCTTTGTACTCAGAAACAGGTAGAAAACTGTTTAAAAAATTAAAAAGCTACCCCCCCCCCCATGATTAATGTTGGAACTATATTCAGATGCGCTCACAATATGCGGTCACTATATTTTTTTTACAGTTTAAACATCCAATAACTTTCAAAATTACATAACTTTGACAAACATATCTGATTAGCAATGTGTGTCAGTTCCTTTCAATGCAGCTGTGGTCTACAGTTTTCTAAATTTCTTTTATAAACAACACATAGTAATGATAATAATATTTAAACTGACTAGGTAAGTACAGTAGGAAGGTCTCAAAAAAAAAAGAGAAAAAATGTAAGTGACAGTTTTTTATAGCTGTACTGCCATTTACTAATGGGTATGAACACACTACAAACAGTTCTTTCAACATCAATGTTCGAAGGAGTTTCTAGTAAAACATGTAAAAACACTAATGTGTAGTGTAAAATACTTTTTCGCTTGGCATTAATTTTTGCTATTTTCGCTGAAGGAATGATTCAGTGAAAATAAAATCCAGTGAATATACCCTTTTTCCTATATTTTACATTCAATTCATCAAAAATCAATGAAAATAAATTCCATGCAAAACACCCAAAATGTCTTTTCAGCAAAAACACTCTCTGTAGCAAGGTACCTAAAGAAGTGTTTTGAAATAAAACAGCAACCCCAGTGACAATTTTCTTTCACAGTTAAGTTTTGCATTTTGTTTTCTATCTTTTTATAGTATAATAATTTAGTCTTAATATTTTTTTTTTTCTTTTTTCTCTGTAATGTATTAGCTTAGTTTTATTTTATTTATTTACTTTATTTTTTTCTTTCTTCAACATTTGTAACCATTGCCAAAAGTAAATATACATTTTTTCCTATATTTTACATTTAACTCAGGCTCATCAAAAATCAGTGAAAATAAATTTCAGCTAAAATAAAGTATTTTACGCAAAATGGGTAAACTTATACCAATATAATTATAATGTCTCGGCGAAAATGCAGTTTTTTTTTTATTGTTACATCGACTATCAGGTCATTCACATGTCACCGTGACCTAGTTCCGTTTGGCATGCCTGGAGTAGATGTTTCTGAACATATTACGTACTATCTACTATATTACAACGTAATTAGGGGTTGTTTTGACGTCGTGAAACAAATGATAGCCAACTTTCT